TTAGTGATTTTCATAAAGGCAGAAACCATTGACTTTATTTTATTCTCCTGTGTGAGCTGATGCTTGGTGACAGTTCCAATCCTCTGTGGACTTGTCTAACAATTCTGACGAGGCAACTCTATATTGGAACAGGGTAGGAATATAATTGTGCTCTTGTTAAAACATGCTGTAATGTCAGACACACTGAATTTTAATTCCCATGGTGGGTCCAGATAATCAGGAAATTCTCCCAACTGCAGGAGGATTTTGAAATAGCATGTGACATTTTTACAGCTGGCCATAATTTCATGCTTTGCCACCTTTGATCAAAGTGTCACCTTAAATGAAGGCAAGAAGACAGAAAGTGCTACTGTGAAACCCACAATGTACCCAATCCACATGAATCTAAAGGTAAAACCCACATGCAGTAATAATTCTCTCCCTAAAACTCACATGCTGAGGGAAACCAATTAAGTTAGAAAATTCCTGTAGCTAACAATATATTTTAAATTATCTCCAGTATTATTTTATTATTTAAACCTATCACAAGTAACTTCAAAGTATGGAAATGGCAAAGGAGGCATCAAGCTAATGGGAAAATACAAATTATTTATATACTGAATTGCTCACAGGAGGCATAAGAAAATAGAGCTTCCTTGATAAATAATATATAAGTAAGCATTCTCTAAACTACAAGTGTTACCTGATAAGCCAACACACGAGAATCAAGCAGTATGTACTGACTCCTTCCTGTACAAAAGTAGTCTTCACTGGGAAATCATCAAGGGTTAGTTTAGAATGCTGAAATATTTAGGAGAGCCAAGAGTATTGAAGATATTGTACTACTTGGTGTTGGGGAAGGAAGTCATCTGCTCTCAAACCGCCTAGGTTCGGTACCATAAATTCTGCTGTGACATGTTAAAATATTTGCAACCTGTCTTAGTCTGTTTGGGCTGCTATAAAAAAAAAAAATACCAGACTAGGGAGCTTATAAACAACAGAGATTTATTTCTCACAGTTCTAGAAGCTGGAGGTCTGAGACCAGCGGGCCAGCCAGCATGGTTGGATAAAGGCTCTCCTCCAGCTGGAAGGCTTCTTGCATCCTCACATGATGGAAGCGGCTAGGGCGCTGTGTGAAGTCTCTTTTATAAAAATACATCCCAACTATGAGGGCTCCACACTTATGACCCATGTACCTCACAAAGACCCCATCTGTTAATACCATCATATTGGGCATTAGGGTTTTAACATATGACTTTCAGGGGGACACAAATGTTGACTATAGCACAACCTAATAACTTGTACTGTAAGTTTTAAAACTTGTTATTTTCCTGCTGCCTCAACATCTCCCCAAATATACTGTGAGCACCCCATCTAGGTGACCAGGTGCACCCAGTATGATGAGGTGGCCCCTGCCACAAGTTCTCCTTCTTATGTTCCTCTCTCTGTGACCTAGTGTCATTCAAGTGATATCCCCTCATGCTTTTTGCTTGTGTCCTCCACACTGACCCCAATTTTCCCATGGGTCCTTGTGCTCTCTCTCTGCTCCCCACCTGCCTGTTTGACTGTGCTCCCTTGGCACTCCCCTCATGGGCCCCTCATGACTCTGTTACTCTAGAACCTGTGAGTATATTAAACTTTGTTTTCTTATACCCCTCTTTTGTCACCTTTTGTGGATGCATCTGATTGACCATCTCCTGAAAGAATACAAAACAGGGGTGCCTGGGTGGCTCAGTCAGTTAAGTGTCTGACTCTTGATTTCAGCTCAAGTCATGATCTCATGGTCATGGGATCGAGCCTGCAGAGGGCTGAGCACTGGAGTGAGCACAGAGCCTGCTTGGGATTCTCTCTCTCTCTCTCTCTCTCTCTCTCTCTGCCCCTCCCCCATTTGTTATCTCTCACTCTCTCTCAAAATAAAAACATTTAAAAAAATATAAAACAATGATAGAATAGAGACTTAGAGATTTTTATTTTTTTTATGTTTATTTATTTATTTTGAAAGAGAGAGAGAGCAAGCATGAGCAAGGGAGGGGAGAGAGAAGAGAGAGAGAGAGAGAGAGAGAGAGAGAGAGAGAGAGAGAGAATCCTGAGAATCCCAAGCAGGCGTCATGCTGTCAGCCAGAGACCAACATAGGGGCTTGATCCAATGAACTGTGAGATCGTGACCTGGGCCGAAATCAAGAATCAGACATCTAACCGACTGAGCCACCCAGGTGCCCTGGAACTTAAAGATTTTTCAAACAGAGCTTGAAGCTACCTAAGGATAAGCAATCTAATGATTTAATTTTACAGGCGAAGAATTTAAGACCCACAAAGGCAGTGACTCCATCAAAATCTCCAAGTTAATGAGTGGCAGAGTAAATATCTTATCTCAGATTTTTTTGAAAGAGAACTTAGTATTTTCTTCTATAAATACAATATACTGCCTCCCTAAATATCGAATTTCCTGCATCATTTCATAATTTTTATAAGAGGTTAGTTCTATAAATTAAAATAGTAAAGACCAATAATTGTTGCAAAGATTATCCACACATTAACAATACTAAGGGTCAGTTAATATACTAAAATAAACAAGTTTGAGTAAATTATTTCAGGATTACTATCTTCATAGTTAAAATATGTAAAACCAATGAAACAGTTGTGTATGTAACTGCAACTGGCAAGGAGCTCTTCTTTTTCTCACCCCTACATTTTTTGGTTATCTGTTATAGAATAAGTAGCTACCCTACAACTTGGTGTTCTAAAAAAAAACCACATTATTATAATTCATGATTTGGCAGGTCAGGCATGAGTCAGGCTCAAACGGGAGATCCTTCTGCTCTGCATGGCATTTACAGGGGCCGTTCCATGGAATTTAACTGGTAGGTGGATGGTAGGAAAGTTGCTCTCAACTGGGTCACTTGCTCTATGTAGCCTCACAGCCTCTTCGTGTGTGTCTTTTTACAGTCACTGAACTTATTACATGTCATCCTAGGACTCCAAGAGACCTAGGAGGAAGGTGCCCCTGTCCTGCTAAATGCTAAGCTCAGACATGGCATAGTGTCATTGCTGCCACACTCCATTAGGTAGAAGGGCAAGTAATACCTAATGTTCAACAGGAGGAATGCAAATGTGTATGCAGCTATCCTTAATCTTACACAATACTTTATCAGCAAAATGTTACATTCAAATAGCTTTTTAATAATGTACCTTTTCCTCATTCTCCTGATTTGGAATTTCTAAGCTTTCTTAAAAAATATTTCATAGGAATTTATATTATTCTTAAGACATACTAAGTTAGCCATGTTGAAATATCACTAAAGCTCCCCCTTTGTATTTAATGTTTGCAAACTATCAGATGCACTTTAGTTTTATTTAAACTTCCTACTTAAGAAGATTCACATTTCTGGTTTTGCTGTCTATTGTTATATTGTAGGCTTTTGATATAATTGAGACTCAAATTCAGTTAAATTTGATCTGAAAAGCTCCCCCCACCCCGCTTGGGCTTACTGCATATTTTTTATTTGATTTTATGAATCAACTATAGATAGTATGACTACATTGGGGCAGAGTAAAATTGACAAGAAAGGAAAAACAAACAAAAGTATAATTTATAGGCAGCTATCCAATGTTAGGTATATTGATAGAAATGCAATAACCACTGGCAGGCAATACATTTTATTTAATGCTTGTAACAGTAACAATTGGTATTAAATAAGTAAAATTAGGTGGATTTTTACAGATGAAAGAATGTAGCCTAAGTTGGGAGAATGTTAGCCAACCGTAGGGAGGTATGCCTCCAAACTCATAGTTTTCATACTTTATGGCATGGAGGTATAATCTTGGTTGGGTGTATATATATGTACTCGAGATCCCAGTTCACCATATAAAATATTAAATGGATATGAGCACTTGGAAAGTTCATATAACACGAAAATCTATATGCAAAACTGAGGTCAAAACAAGAATAGATTTATGCTTATATTATAGAGTGGTTTGGATGGTAAATGAAATAGAATAGATAAAATATTGCAAACAATTAGGTTTCAGTGTGGGTTCACTTTTCAAATGGATATATGATTCTTAATTAGTGACTATGAAACAAAATATCTGTCTAGATATTTTATTATTAAAACTCAAACTCGGGGCGCCTGGGTGGCGCAGTCGGTTAAGCGTCCGACTTCAGCCAGGTCACGATCTCGCGCTCCGTGAGTTCGAGCCCTGAGTCGGGCTCTGGGCTGATGGCTCAGAGCCTGGATCCTGTTTCCGATTCTGTGTCTCCCTCTCTCTCTGCCCCTCGCCCGTTCATGCTCTGTCTCTCTCTGTCCCAAAAATAAATAAACGTTGAAAAAAAATTTAAAAAAAATAACTCAAACTCTATGTACGGTATTTCTCTGACACAAGCAGCTGTAGCCAAAATCATATTTTCTGACATGGAAAAATGTGAAACCACCAGAGGTATTAATAATATCCAAGAAAGGAGCCAGGTGATTACCAAGGCTAATCAGGATTTCTAAGGACTCAGATAAATTTGAGACTATAATAGGATTACATTCTCTACTACTCAAGCCATTGATATTTGCATATTAAACTGGTAGGGTTTAGAAATTGGGATGGCTCTACCAAGTCCAGATTTGTGCCAGTAACAGAAGACAGAACTTTTCTTGACTTTCCTTTCTGCAAAGAAATAATAGGAGACAATAACAAGCCTCCTTCTAAGTAGTTACTTTGAAATCTCATGATTAGGTGAGTCAGAAATCAAGTCAGAAAGGGAGGGTGGGGAGGAAAACTCATTTCAAGTGCTAATTGTAGGAAATTAACAATTCAGAAAGAGTAGTTGAATACTTTACTTTTGTAAAACTTACCTTTTAAAGATTCCAGTGTTGAAAAGTCACATGAGGCAGAATTCAGGTGAGAAAAAACGTTGGGTCACCTGAGTGAGCGTCCAACTCTTGATTTCAGCTCAGGTTATGATCCCAGGGTCATGGGATCAAGCCCAGCATCAGCTCCACGCTGAATGTGGAGACTGCTTAAGACTCTCTCTCTTCCTCTGTCCCTCTTCCCTGCTTGTGCTGTCTCTCTTGCTCTAAAATAAAAAAATAAATAAAATTTAAAAAATATTAAAAATTTAAAAATCAAAATTAAAGAAAATGTTATTTTGTCCTAAAAAATAGGAAAGAAAATTGTTATTTTACAACCCATCACATAAACATACATATTCTCAAATTAATAATGCAAAGCTTATAATACATATTAATACATAAGAGTTACAAAACAGAAGCATGAATCAATATTACAAAGCTATTTCCTCATACTTGACCAATTAAAGTGCAGTAGAGCAGAACCATGTACCATTTTTGACTGATAAGCATCTAAATGCTAAGTCTGATTGCAAGAGTTGATTGAGTTGACCTGCCAAAATAGATCAAGGTGACTAACGGTGTTGAGTCACTCTCCAACCAGTTCTTAAGTAGCACGTACACATTGTTCACACAAAAATAACCATTTCACTATATTTTTAACTGTTAAGTTGAAAAATCACACTCTCCCTGCCCACAGAATCAATTTTAAACACGTGAAAGTACTTTAGCCTACCCTCTCCATTGAAAGAGCCGCTATCTACATGTGGCTATTTAAATTTAAACATAAATGAATTAAAAATGAAATAAAATTAAGTCTGTAGTTCCTCAATCACATTAGCTCCATTTCAAGTGCCCAAGAGTCACATGTGGTTCATGGCTACCATACTGGTCAGTGCAGATACAGAAACTTTCCATCATAGCAGAAAGTTCTATTGGACAGCACTGATATAGACAATTTCTTTGGTTGGAATTGAGCTTTTGTGCATAATATTAACTAAAGCTTGAAAGATTTTTCAAACACACAATAATATTTAACAAAAGATTACTGATGTTACCACAGTTATTACTTTCTAAAAATGGACAATAATAAACAATATTTTTTTCTAAATTGGACAATAAAAATAAACAACATAATTAGTAGTAAAAAAAAAAAAGAAGAAAATTGATGCAATAAAAATGGTGTGTTTTTTAAGATCTATAAAATTAGCTAAACAAAAATAGTGGCCCTCTAAATTCATGGCTCATATGAATAGGAAATCAGCAAGTGATCTGATATTATCTTTTATTGTTAAAAATACATATTTTTGACCCACCTTTATGAATCTTTCCAATAGAAATTGAGGACTTGCTTTAGAAGTTAAGGTTATTCAGAATTATTTATAGTGGCAAAACTTGGACACAACATTAATGTACATCAATAAAGGAATAATTTGCTAGGTTATGTTACATTCATCATGTAAAAATCATAAAGTGATTTCAAACAACATGTCAGCTCTTCCTTCTTCATGTGCAGAGATCACACTTAAACTCTACAAACTGGTAGACTTTTAAGTAAACAAGTGAATGGAAGAACTAACTCAGAAAAGTAAGGATATTCATTAGGATAAGAATAATGAGGAAAAACAAAAATAATTACCAAATAGAAAAGCAAAAGTTATATACAGGCACGTGCACACACACGCACATGCGCATACTTGAGTATGAACAGTTGTGGAAGGTTATATACCGGGCTTTTAATCTTAGTTGTATCTGAGAGTTAAGAAAGGAGTTTATAGGGGTGCCTGGCTGGCTCAGTCAGTTGAGCGTCCGACTTCCGCTCAGGTCATGATCTCACTTTCATGGGTTTGAGCCCCGAGTTAGGCTCTGTGCTCACAGCTCAGAGCCTGGAGCCTGCTTTGGATTCTGTGTCTCCCTCTGCCCCTCCCCCACTCACACTGTCTCTCTCTCTCTCTCTCTCTCTCTCTCAAAAGAAATCAACATTAAAATTTTTAAAAAATTTAAAAAAAGAAAGGAGTTTATAAGATAGTTATCAATTTTGTACTTACATATTCTTTCATTGTTTCTCGTCTTCAAAGGAGCATGCATCATTTTATAATTTAAAAATATTTAATTAAAAACAATTCATTGTATATCTGCTATAAATAAGTCTACTTTGCAAATCAGGAATACAGCAATAAATATTAATAGATTAGACTTAGATACTATTCTGTGTATAAAGTACTCTCATACATATTTGATCCTTACCAGGACCCTGTCAGCCTGGTTGGGCAGAAATTAGTGTTCCTTTTTGAAAATACACCCAGTTACTAAATGGTAGAGCCAGAATTAGCACCCAGGATTCTTAATCTCTGTTTCATTCTTTCTACAGTATCACAGCACCTCCAATGAACATCCCCAAAGAACAAACTTTAGACATGGAGAAATTGAGTTCATATGTCAAGTCTTTCCAATTCTACTGTTTTCTATTTTAGTACCTGTCTTGAGCAACATCCTGTTTTCCACAACTAAAATTGTTTTAAACACTTCTACAAAAAGAGAAGTTTACAATTAGGATAAAGGTATTTGTGTAAAGACTCATAACTTGTTGACATCAAAAGTATATTTTATGTATAAAAGAATATTTAAATGTTGGAAAATTAGTTTTAATTTACGTACATTGTCCTTCTTTTATTCATTTTTTAAAAAATACTTATTTTTTTGGGAGAGTGCAAGAAGGGGAAGGGCAGAGAAGGGGTACAGAGGATCTGAAGAGGGCTCTGCACTTACAGGCTGACAGCAGTGAGACGGATGTGGGGCTTGAACTCACCAACCCTGAGATCAGGACCTGAGCCAAGTCTAAAGTCCGAGGCTCAACCTACCACGACACCCAAGTGCCCTTTATTTGATTCATCGGCAGCAAAGAGTAACACCCTTTTGAAGAGAGAGGGTGCACAGATAAATTTTTTTGTACTGTTAAAGCTGGGGAAATCCTTAGACATCAAGTATTAGGGGAAAGCACAGCATCTCTTTCAAACAATGAAAATAAAACAGGAAATGGTAAGCACTAACAAAGCCTTAGGCAAATGTACAGCAGGAAGTGGGCATGGCAAACAGGGTAGCTTCATTTGTGCCTTTATTTTTTAGGTTAGGAAAACTCGTCCATGATAAATGAGTTTAACTGACAAATAATGTGGCATAAAATATATGAGGTACATTTTGTTACAATAATGAGTAAACTGAGGTAGAAATATGTAATATTTACCCAGAATGAATAAATTAACATTTTAAAATAGTAATGAGTGAAAAGAAGTATATATACAATCACACACAGAATGAATGGATTCAAACATCACAAAACTTTCATTGCACATTACGCTAAGCCAAATGGGGTTATCTGATGTCTATCATCAGTACTGATAAATATTGTGATTGTTTTTAAACTGCCGTCTTTACAAACAAAGAACACTGAACATAACTGGTTCAAAACTTGAGTTGGAAAGGACCGTGGAATAACTTTGTATGCTTTCTCTATAGAAGCCTGCATTTCAGTTCAGCCTCTGCCGGGTTTGTTTTCAGCTCAGGTTCCCATTTGCTCTTAGTCTCCACAGTAACTAGGCATATTAGAGAGCTCAGACACTTATAAATATCATAAGCCAGATGCTCTCTTACCCATAGGATTTCTGAAAAACTTCCAATGGGAAAAATGGGCTGGCGTCCAGAGCCAAAATCCCTAAGTCTGAATTGACAGAAATAGAACATGAGACAGAATAGAGAGGAAAAGAAAAATATATGTGATTAACAATTCTTGGTAATTACCAAAGCTAGTACCTTTGATTTTTTTCCAGGTGATTGGAACCATTCAGCACTCAATAGTGAGGTTTGGTATAAATTTTCGTTTGCATTATTTTGTTCATACATCTGTTTTCTCAGATGTATATAACTCACAATAAAGCATTTTGAAAGAAATACATCTGTTGAAGTTGAACATATAATGCCTTTTGAGAAACAGAAAGAGAGAAATGGTGATCTCATGAATAAGAAAGGAAAAATAATTTGCCAAAAGGCACGTCTGATTAACCTCCAAAGAGTGCGAGATTTGAGGTTTTCACATGTGTATAGACAAACTAGTGTGGGCTCTTCAACTATCAGAAGGACACATTTGGAGAGATGGCTTATCTCTAATTCCAAGGGAACCCAATATCCTGTCCTGTGGAGACAGATAACTAGATACTATAGATCTCCAAATTCAGATGGGAACTCTGTAGGTGCCAGTAGCCAAGTGGAAAAGACATAAAAACTTTGCTACAGATTTCATAAAAAGTTATTTACAGATGCCATTTGAAATGCAAGAGATATGTGGCACCAGCACTCCGGGGTTGAGGAGGCAAGAAAAAAAAATGCAAGAGAAAAGGTAAATTTTAATATCTTATGTGTTGAAATCACTGCCAAATTTTTATTTCTATAAGCATGGAGAAGAAATTGTAAAGTTTTACAAAGGCATATAAATATTTTTCTAAAAGTTTGACATCTATAGAATTGTCAGTTAATGTATACTTTGCATATGGCAAGAGCATTAGATAGTTACGAAACTTATGGAAAGCCGTTATCAACATCTTTGGCTTTAACAATAAGAGCTGAAACAATCTACACTCTAATCTAATATTCAACACCATTTTACACTACCTTCTTAGTGCTTATCATCATAGATGTGAGGGTTCGTTCTCCCTGTTTCATCATTATTGGGGCCAGAAGTAGTTTGTCACCACCTGATAGAATTTGGCCACTTCAGTTTAAATATCCTGATCAGATTCTGTGGCTAGCTGGACCTTCTGGACTGTGGTTGCAATGCTAAGAATCTTCCAAGCAGTGGGGGCCTTGGCCCTGAAGGATACTGGAGACACAGGAATCTACCCTCTACCCTTCTGCTCCCTGAGACTGAGTGGTTGGTCACTTCTCTGGCAAGAGATGAGCCTCACTTCTCCTCCAAGTCAATTTTCTTACCCATCCTCAAAGTGAATATAAGAATGCCTACCTCTCTGCTGAAAAGCAGGGTAAGGGGAACACAAGAGTCAATCTATCAATAAGAATAATCTGTGTTATTGTGAGGCTTTAAATGTGTTTACATACCTGGCAATTGCAAATTATCTTATGGGAAAAAGAAGCAAAGTTTGAATTGCTTTCTTGTTTCTTTCTGCACTGCTAATTCTATTGCAGATATGAATTCAGGCTTTTAATTTTATGCTTTAATTATGCAGGCAAGCTATATACACATGGATAAAATAACAATCTAATGCACAGTATCTAAATGTGCCATAGACTGGAATTGATAGCTATTGATAAGGTCTATGAAAACTATTTTGATCAATCTAATTTCCCTTAGTATCATGATCAATATCTAAAAATACATTTTAAGATTATTTTTCTTACTTAATTAATTCCTATATGCTTTATTGTTCTATAATGAGGGAGGCTTTTTTTGTCTTATCCACTTGCCTGGTAATATATCATGATCAATATCTAAAAATACATTTTAAGATTATTTTTCTTAATTAATTCCTATATGCTTTATTGTTCTATAATGAGAGAGGCTTTTTTTTGTCTTATCCACTTGCCTGGTAATAACAAGTATTCAAGAAGTATTTGTTGAATGAATTAAATAAGGAAAATATGAGTTTTACAATAACAGGAGAGAATGTTGTAATAAAGGAAACACTTATCGGGAAAAAATAACAAAATTTATTTTAGCTGGAGGGATGTTTGAACAGTAAGGATAGGAAGACAGAAATGCTCATGGTGTGTTCAAAAGACTATGACGAGGGGCGCCTGGGTGGCGCAGTCGGTTAAGCCTCCGACTTCAGCCAGGTCACGATCTCGCGGTCCGTGAGTTCGAGCCCCGCGTCAGGCTCTGGGCTGATGGCTCAGAGCCTGGAGCCTGTTTCCAATTCTGTGTCTCCCTCTCTCTCTGCCCCTCCCCCGTTCATGCTCTGTCTCTCTCTGTCCCAAAAATAAATAAACTTTGGAAAAAAAAAAATCTTTAAAAAAAAAAAAAAAAGACTATGACGAGATCAATCTGACTTAAGCAGAAGTTTTTGGAAGAGAGCATACGGAGACAGAGTTGGAGAATCAATATACAGCCAGATTACCAAGGGCTTTGAAAGTTAATTTAAATAGCTCAGATTGTATTCTGGACAATTAAGAGTAGAGGGAACATATGGGCCAACAGAAACATGTCTCCCAGTTTTGGTAAAATGAGTACTAAGTATGTAATACTGCTCATGAAGCAGATAGGAAAAATAACTTTTGTACATGATACTCACCTTTATTAAATCCTCTAGTTAGATCTGGTGCCACAAATTCAGATTCATAAAAAGCCAAAACCTTGAATAAATTTCCAATATCTTGCAGCAATAAAGGCAAAATTCCTAGAATAATAAAGAAAATACATTATTAATATTTTCATATCATATTCCGTGGTTCACAATATACTTATCAAAATAGAATCCATTTGCAGGTGGAGTCCAGACAGGCATTAAAAGTGGGTTATGGTAGCTGGGGCACAACAGGCTAGGGATGGTTGTGACACGCAGCCAAGGCATTCAGGGAGGGTATCAGCAGCGCAGGAGCAAAGGACAGAGCCTAGTATCTATTAAAAGACTCTATGTGCAAAGCCCTGGGCTTTCAATACACAACCTTGTTAATAGGTATTTAAGAATAAAAAGTCTCAAGTATATAGTGTGAGAGAAGACCACAAGAAAACACTTTTTTTAAAAAAATTTACATCCAAGTTAGTTAGCATATAGTGCAATAATGATTTCAGGAGTAGATTCCAATGATTCAACCCCTACATATAACACCCAGTGCTCATCCCAACAAGTGTCCTCCTTAATGCCCTTTGCCCTTTTAGCCCATGTCCCCACCCACAACCCCTCCAGCAACCCTCAGTTTGTTCTCTATATTTAAGAGTCTCTTATGTTTTATCTCCCTCTCTGTTTTTTTATTATTTTGTTATTATTTTTGCTTCCCTTCCCTTCCCTTATGTTCATCTGTTTTGCATCTTAAATTCCTCCTGTGAGTGAATTCATATGATATTTGTCTTTCTCTGACTAATTTAACTTAGCATAATACACTCGAGTTCTATCCACGTTGTTGCAAATGGCAAGATTTCATTATTTTTGATTGCCAAGTAATACTCCATTGTATATATATATACACCACATCTTCTTTATCCATTCATCTGTTGATGGACATCTGGGCTCTTTCCATACTTCCACAACAAAACAGCTACTATCTGCCTAGCTTTTTTCTTAAGCACATACTGTTGTCCTTCAAATGATTTCTGTTTTCAAATAATAATGCATATTTTCCCCAAATTGTCCTATCTCCGTATTTGGGTTGACTATTAAATCTTTCCCTCTCAGCCACCTGGCAGTTGCGACACATTAGGCAATTATACCTGCCTAAGTGAATATCTGCTTACTTAACAGTTGAATCAGGTATCACCTAGGAATCAATTTAAAGAAAGAATATTAGCCAGACTTATAATTCTATTGATACAACTTCTGATAAAATTATTTTATTTTATATCTAGCACTCAAATTGGAAAAATTAAGTCACTGGCTAGAAAAACAAACACACTGATCCAATAGTTGAACACTTTTCAGCAATGTTTCTATCACAATGTAGGTAGAACAGAAGATGAAATTCTGAATTGCAAAGATATTAAGAAGAGCCAATGTTTAAAAGTTTTAGAAATGCCTTTATTTATTTTGCTTGCATTTTCTTTTAATGTATGCAAACAATGCTGTGTGATTTATATATGTGTATGTATATATTATTTTTTAATGTTTATTTGTGTATTTTGAGAGAGAGAGAGAGATAGAGACAGAGAGAGCCAGAGAGAGAGGGAAGGGCAGAGAGAGTAGGAGACAGAGAATCCCAAGCAGGCTCTGCACTGTCACCACAGAGCCTGACATGGCGCTCGAACTCATGAACCATGAGACCATGGCCTAAGCTGAAATCAAGAGTATGATGCTTAACTGACTGAGCCACCCTGGTGTCCCTATATGTGTATACATATGTTTGAAAGAGTTCTTTCAATAAGTATAAAGTGAAATCTCTAAGTGATTACAGACTATTGAGTCATAGTGTAATTACTCTTCTTCCCAGTATAAATTAAATAATCAAAAATCTTTAAATCAATGTCCTCTTAGATTTGATGAAACACAGTATGCTCCAGGAATTGTGCTAAGAGCTCTATAAGTCAAACTCTACTTTATTCTCACAACTTGTCTGTTCTACAGTATACTATACTCCAGATATGCAAAATGAACCACTCTTGCTAAGTCCATTTCCATAATCCTATTTATAGTAAATAGCAGTTTCATTAGAACCTATTAACATCAAAAACAGAGATCAGCCTTGAAAATTCCCTTGAGCACACTTACCTAATTTCATTGGCTCTACATCTAAAAACAAAATAAAATAACAAAAATAAAAACAAAACAAAACAAAAAATGCTTTATCATCAAAATTAGATTTTAATAAATTCCAAAGATATTTGAGTGATATCCACAAGATAAGAACTTTGATTAACTTAGAGCATGGACATAACCAGGTGGAAGAAAGGAGATACCCTATCTATCTCCCTGATAATACAAAGAAACATACCACATGTAAATAAATTGGAGGATGCCTGGGAAAGCTTTATTTAGAGACCCTACTAATTAATAAAGGCTGGAATCAGAAACAGATTATGGGCATCTACAGTATAAATGCCCCCCTCAGTCACCTCTGGGAAGCACACCAGACAAAGGCAGACACACTAAATTTAGATTCTGTAGTAGTGCTTGAACAAGCTTATTATTCGGCATGGATAGAAATGCTAATCCCTTATTACCACATAAAATGCAAAATACAAAATTCACTGACACAGAAGCCAACCTAACACTGGCTTCTACTTTTCCCAACAAGTTTCTGTGTTTCTATATTGTTAGGACTGAACTATTCGAACATGTTAAAATAGGCAGTTGGACAGAATATAAGCAATTAGAAATTATCTCAACTTTCGACTGTAAAAGAATAAAAGTATCTTAAAAAATTTTTAAAGCCTCACTGAACATAAGAAAACATACTCCAACTAAATAAAAATGGATGTTTTTACAAACTCTCTAAAATTATTTATGAAACAGAATAAAAAAGAATATAAATTTTAGAATATTTGTAATTTTATTCTTAGTAATATTCAAGAAGAAACTGCATCTATACAACTTGCTAAAGAAGGCCTTATTAGGAACCATTTAACTAAGGAAAAACCAATTGGAATTTTTAAGAGAAGTTAAAAATAAAATGGAATCAGAGAATAACAGATTTGAAATAATAATTTTAAAAAAGCTACTGTGAAACAGCAGTCGAATTTAAAACTTTTTCCATAGTAAGAAGAAACAGGGGAAAATAATATAATAAGAGATAAGATTTATTTATTTTTTTAACATTTATTCATTTTTGAGAGAGAGACAGAGTGTGAGCAGGGGAGGGGCAGAGAGGGAGAGAGACACATAATCTGAAACAGGCCCCAGGCTCCGAGCTGCTAGCACAGAGCCTGACGTGGGGCTCAAACCCACGAACCACAAGATTATGACCTGAGCTGAAGTCAGACGCTCAACCAACTGAGCCACCCAGGTGCCCCAATAAGAGATAAGATTTAAAAAGCATTTTTGTTTTCATTAATATAATATGGCTACCAGTAAACGTATAAGAAACAATCATTTTCTAAGCATTGAAGAAATGGAAAGTTAGAGGTTTTTGGCCAAAGTCTAGGGAAGACTGGAACTGTAAGGAGAAAAATGAAGCTAACTTCTCCCTGATAGCATTTACCAACTACTGAATCTCAGATTTTCTCATTTTTATGGAGCAAGGGGTATTACAAATAACCACTTTTTTGCTTACTGTAACTTCCTTATTCCTCCTCCCATCTGCCTATAAAAGTCTTTCGTTTTATACAGCTTGATAATTGCAAAGTTACTTTCCTTTAGGAATGACAGGGATCTATTAGGCAGATTACCTAACCAGTGCTGATCAGGCAATTCCTGATTGACTGTTTAAGATTCCATTTCCATAAGAGTCCATACCAATTAAGTCTTGGATTGGTGATGTGGGGCCTTGAGTAAAGTATTCCATTTTGGGCCTGTTGTTTCGCTTTTAACAGATTCTGGGCTGGCAGGGGGTGGGGAGGGAATCATCCCAGATGTAAGGGCGAGGATATAGGAAGGACTGGGCAGTAAGTGCTTTCTATTCCAGGAGTAATGGGACAAGTCATAAGCAATAATCTTATGCTACACAATTAAAAACAACTGAACAAATTATTTTTTAAAAGTCACCACATTGAATCCATCTAAAAGTTATTTAAGAAAGATGAATATTTGGGGCGCCTGGGTGGCTCAGTCGGTTAAGTGTCTGACTTTGGCTCAGGTCATGATCTCGTGGCTTGTGAGTTCAAGCCCTGCATCAGGCTCTGTGCTGACAGCTCAGAGCCTGGAGCCTGCTTTGGATTCTGTGTCTCCCTCTCTCTCTGCCCCTCCCCCGCTCACACTCTGTCTGTCTCTCTCTCACAAATAAATAAACATTAAAACAAATTTAAAAAAAAGAAAGATGAATATTTAAGCCAATATTTTAGAGAAACTAGGAGTAAGGTAAAAATGACATTGGGTACTGTTTTTCCATCACGTTGACTAGTGTTACCAAAAGCTATGATGGAGAGCAGAACTTTCCATAGCTTCACGCGTTTGAGGTGGGGGAGTGCAAATGAAGACCTGCCAATGATGGGGAATTCTTGTAAATAACCGAGGTTTGGGAACCTAAAGGGCTACAAAATATAATTAAAGCTGAACTGAAAATAAACCAGAGAGTAAAGACCGGCTGTGATCATTTCAAGGGCAGGTTGTATTAATTAGATTTGTCATCTGCCTGCCAGAAGAAAAAGTCAGTCCTCTCTGGAGAAAGCATTATCAAGAGCTCAAATGATTTTGAAAACATTTTTCATGCAAAGTTTTACTTACAAACAAACAAAAAAAAAAACACTAGGTATAAAATGAGACACAATTTGAATAAAAATCAATAAAAACAACAACAGAAAATAACAGAAGAACCATAGGAGAAGCATAAAGCAGATTATGTTTAAAAACAAAAGTATGACTAATGTGGTCAAGACATAAATACACAAGATAGAAGAATTTTGGCAGAGAAATGAACAACATATATAAAAACCACATAAGTGTATTATAAATGCATGAAAACATCTCACTAAAGGGGTGGGAAGAAAAGGTGCTAGTCTGAGTAACTTTGGAATATGTGGAGTCTATAAGACTAAACACAATGAAACTTTGCATAGCATTGTATTCTAGTTGATAAATTCGTTTTCCTAAGG